AAAAAAATGAACACATATGAAAAGGACAAATCACATTTCAGAACAGGAGGGGGATGCGGGGGGAGGAGGAAGGAAGGTAAGTGTCTGTGAATTGATGATATTAGAGGTGGGGAGAGTGGGATGTCTGTGAGCTAATGGTATTAGAGGTGATAATTGGGGAAGCTATCTCGGTAATGGGTAAGATACTCAAACTATACTCCCCACCTCTAATATCATCAATTCACAGACACTTACCTTCCTTGCTTCCCCCCCCCTGCATCGCCCTCCTGTTCTGAAATGTGGTTTGTCCTTTTCATATATGCTCATTTTTTTTATTGTATCCTTTGGTATATATGGTTGTGACTATTTTCTTCCACTATTTGATCTGAGGAAGTGGGTCTGGCCCACGAAAGCTCATCATCTAATAAACCATCTTGTTAGTCTTTAAAGTGCTACATAGTCCTGCATTTTGTTTCACGTGTATCAGCTTTTCCCCCTCCACGCTGCTGCCTCTCCATCAGAGGCAACAGTAGGGGGAGATGGTGCTTGCAGGGAGATGGCTTTTAAGCCAGCTCTCCTGAGCACCTGCTCCTGCCTGCCCCTCATGCTGCTCTCCATGTGCACCACTTCCCCCCCACCGCTGTCTGATATAGAGGTAGTGGGGAAAGGGTGTAACCGTGCGGGTTAACCACTGAGCCAAGGCTTATTGGTTAACCGTGTATATGAGTACATGTTAACGTCCCTACTTAGTAAACTTAACATGAAATGAGATCATTGTGGATTGAATATAAATCACCTAGCTGAAACTAATATCTGCCTGCTTAGATAGGAAAAAACCCTCAGCGAGAAAAGGAAAATATACATGGATCCAATTGATTTACGTCAGATATAGAATTTTAACTAAGGACATTCTGCCTGTCTAAATCTCAACAAAGGTTTGGACTTGATTTTGAAGAAGCAGCTATCATATCAAATTATGATTTTCAGAAGTGTTGGTCACCTTAGTCCCTGTTGATTTCAACTGGGCCTAGGCAAAGTGCTTTGCACTTCTGAAAATCAGGCTGTAAAATAACTGATTTTCACTTGTGAAAGCTGCACATAACTTGACTTCTGTCTCCAAATACTGATTCTATTTAGGAACTTGCTCTTATTCCGCTGCTGTGATGTACTGCATCAGATACTGGGCATTTTATATCATACAAATAAAGTAGGTGACATAGTGTTATCAGTAAATATCCTATTTATTTTTTATAGAAAGCAAAAACAGCAAGTGATTTACAGATATATAATTTATGTATAACACCAACATAAATCTTAAAATATTGTATAAGAAAATTTACATATGTAAAAGGCTGCAAGTTAACATTTAAAAAATTCATTGACCTGGTGGTGATTATTCTGGTTCTCTTCTGGAAATCACTTTGCGAATGAACTGTACAAACTGATTTGAAAACTGGCTTTGTATCTTTGAAAAGTGCAATTAAACATAAGCATTCTTGTCAAAGTGCTTAGGAGGGCCTTTTGGTGGTAGAAAATCTGCTGCACTATTGTGGACCTTTGTCCGAGAAGACATCACAGATGTAGCTCCATTGTATGTGTATCCCATTCTGAAAGACAGAAAACTCTCCATTTACAGCTGCTTCTATGAACAGGTAACAATTATATATTTGTGTGTAAAAATATTCAAACTAGGAAAAAATGCATGCATTTCCCCAGCAAAAACAGACCAATCACCAATTTCACTCTGTCATCGCTCATCAGTAGAGCAAGATCAAATAAGACCAACATCTCAATGGCTAGGCATTAAAACATTCTGTTTAGGACATCAGAGACTCTTGTTCCCTAATTTAAGTCTTATCTGTACTCATCTGTTTCAATCTAACCCACTACCTTTCATAGTTTCCCCTCCAATATCTTTCTTTTCTTCAGTCTACTTTCCTACAGGTTGAACCTCTCCAATCCAGAAATGTCCATTGTCCAGAATGATTTTAGTTAGTTGGACGTCCACTCTCCTTGGGTGTGGCCAAATTTTCCCTGGTCCCATAAAGTTTGTTTACAGCCTCCAGTCTTAGTGTTCTGTGCTGTTACTTAGCTCTAATTTACCCCTAAATGTCCTCTAACAGCATAGTAAGCATTGGAAGTGTCGGTAATGCTGCTAGATAATATTGACCTCCCTTGGTCCAGAAAATTATCTCATTCAGGACCAGCTAGGTCCTGAGGGTTCCGGACTAGAGTGGGTCAACCTGCATTAATATGTACATTGTCCAACAGTCAAGCAACTTAGGGTTACTTCCATTATGAAGAGGCAACATGTATCTGTGGTACATTGGCTGTACTACATCACTGACAGCTCCTCCATCAGGTTCTGACATGTGGCAGCAACTTTATAAGTACATGCAATCTGAAACGGTTTCAGATGGTTTTCCTGAAAGATGTAATTTCTTAAAAATAAAAGAAAACATTAATTTTTTTCTTTTTTCACATAATCCTTTTGAAAAGGTGGTAGTAGGATTGTTTTGGAAGCATAGTCAAATTCTAGCTGCATACCTGATCTTTCTATATGTTTAATAATAACAGATTTGCTAATATATTGATTTATTTCAATAAAATAAGTGTAGCCACTTTGGTTCTGTACCTTGAGGATTTTCTGTTTTCAGCTATTGAGAAACAGAATATACTGCCACCAATTATGCAGAGCGATGCTCCAGCCCATCCAATGAATAAAGCTGCTCCTAATTCATATCTGCAGGAAAGACATAAACATGCTAATTAATTGTTTGTTCAGGGTATAGATTGAATTTAATATCGTGTATAAGACGTAGGGTATGTCTAAATTTGCACCCTCTTTCGATAGAGGGATGCAAATGCAGACATTCGAAATTGTAAATGAAGCCGGGATTTAAATATCCCACGCTTCATGTGCATAATCACGTTATGGCACTATTTCGAAATAGCGCTATTTCGAAATAAATACGCTGTGTAGCTGTGGTTATTTTGAAAGAAAATCCTTCTTCTGAAATAACCTTCTTCCTTATAGAATGAGGCTTAACAGTTATTTCGGAAGAAGGAAGAAGTTGGGGGAATCCACCAGCTACTGCTGTTGCAAGTAGTGAGGCCTTCGTCTTCCCCATGTCTTTTCTAGGCCTGTTAGTTGATTCAGTCTCTGTTTGCTCTGCTCTGTAGAGTTGCCTAACAGGAAGAGACAGAACAACTTAGGAATTGCACACTGCCTAAATCTTCTCTCTGGCCCCACTTCCATTTGCCTTAGGTAGGTGCTGTTGTATGCAGGGTCATCAAAGGGTTTTAAAGCTATAGCTAAAAGAAGACAGGAAAGTCTGGGAGGAGATTGTTTTCCCCCCTTCTACTAGTTCTGAATAACTATATTTATACCTGTGGGCTGTGTCTAGACTGCATCCCTTTTCCGTAAAAGGGATGCAAATTAGACATATCGCAATTGCAAATGAAGCGGGGATTTAAATCCCCCCGCTTCATTAGCATAAAAATGGCTGCCACTTTTTTCCGGCTCGGAGCTATGCCGGAAAAAAGTGCCAGTCTAGACGTGGATCTTTCGGAAAATAAAGCCTTTCTCATGTTATCATTTTAAGAGGAATGAGGGATCTTTCGGAAAAGGCTTTATTTTCAGAAAGATCCGCGTCTAGACTGGCGCTTTTTTCCAGCAAAGCTCCGAGCCGGAAAAAAAGCGGCAGCCATTTTTATGCTAATGAAGCGGGGGGATTTAAATCCCCACTTCATTTGCAATTGCGATACGTCTAATTTGCATCCCTTTTACGGAAAAGGGATGCAGTCTAGACACAGCCGTGAAGTTTCTGAACCAGGGATAGCAATTCTAATCTACTGCTGGACCTCCCCTTCCCTATTTCTCAGTGCAAGGCTGACCTCTTGATTAGGATAATGTGTCTCAGAAAGGCTGCAGGCTCAGAGCTCTCCTCATCCTTGCCCAGTTGATACTCTTGTTTCCCCACCAGGCACAAAGTGAACATTATTGCTTCCAAATCTTCCATGGAAAGTCCCAAAACCTATATCCCAATTCCAGGCTTCTGTATCCCAATTCCAGGGTTCAGCACAACCTACCTTTCCCCTATCCCCTCCCGACAATAGCCAGATTGTATGTTTGAGAAATCTGTGTTAGAAGCCTATTGTAAATTTGCAATGATCAATGAGACAGTTCAATAGGAACCCCTTTTTGAGGTGCAACAGGGGAAAGATTTAGCAACAGCACTCTTTTGCTTTAATTCTGAGCACTTTTTCCATGTCAACAGTGCCTACTTTAGTATGAAGTGAAACATATTGTTGAGAACATCTTTAACCTGTTCTATGAAGCTCCTTTGATGTTTTTTATAAATGTGATATTATGATAGCACCTAAGAACACTAATCAAAACTCAAATGATGCCAACTACTGCACAGATAAGTAACACAGAAGAATGTCAGCCCTAATATTCTTAACAACTTACATATTTCAATAAATCTTATATGAAAGAAGACTATAGCAGTAGTAGTTCAAATGGAAAGTGCCCAGGCAGCATATCTAAATTCACCCACCTTTTTGTTTGTTTTTTGTACTAATGTAAGTTATCCTGGTTAAGCTATTGTCTAGTGCTTTGCTGGTTTTATATTTGTGGGTTTTATCTTTGCATTTGGTAATCCCTTCCTTGATTGTAAAGATGTTTTTCCTAGTCTCTTTTGCATGGGAATGGAAATGTGAATATGGGCTTATGTGCACAGTGTTATCTAATCCTCTGCATGCTTTAAAGTTAAAGGGGCCGTAGCAGGACCCAGAGGAAAATTTCTGAGTTTCCATGCTGAAGATTGAGAACTTGGAAAGATACGTTAGCCAGATCATGAACTACCACCTAGGGCATGGCGGTACTTTCTTGTCTTTTCCCCTGATAAATGGTGGAGGACGATCCACCCTTCCTTTCAAAGCTGGGAAGCAAGCGCAGGACATCAGCAGGTAAGGCTGAGGATGAAAGAACGCTTAGACCTTCTACATTTCCCTTTCATCATCTTTTTATTATTGCGTCTCTTCTTCCTCTCACTAAATATAAAGCTGATTGTATAAATGTCACATTAGATCCAAGTTTCAGCTGCAACAGTGCAATCCAGAACTGAAACCTATAGTAAAAACTCAGTTACTTGATAAAATATTTTGTATGATGCAAAAGACACTTGAAACCAATATGACCAGTGCAATTATACTAATCTTATAGCACTCTTGATAAAAAGGAATGCCAAACACACTTCCTGTAATATCAGTATTGTTGCCCATCGAATAAAAGAGAAAACTAGCTTAGTTAAGATACCAAATTTATTTTGTTTCAAGATACTTAGGTACATTTCTTGATATCTTTTGTTTAAATATTTCCAATTACAAAACCTTATTTAAAATCTAAAATGGGGTTCAAAACTAAATCAGTATTTAAAATTCATACTGCTTCAGTTGTTAATATCTTTTGGGGTTTAATGTTATCATCACTAGAAGAGTTGATAGACTCTAAACATTTTATGGGTCATGTTCAGATTTTTAATCCAGGCCTGGTAGCTGTCCCATCCTGGCCTCTGCCCAGTTGCTACTGAAAGCTGGTAGGATAAGAAGCTACTAAGATGATAGCCCCAGCTAAGGCACCGCCTAGAGGCGCTCTGATTGGAGGATTGCTCATCTCCATTTATTGGTCCAACAATACTATTTAATCCAGGAAGAACTGGAGGTTTGTCTGAGGCTACAACAAGGTGACTTCTGATTGTGGCTGCATTGGACGGTGCTTCCTACATCCAACCCGGTTCTTGATTACTACTCTGGTCCTGCCCTTGCTCCTGATTCCACTATACTCCGGCTCTGGGCTTGATCCTCGAATGTCCTCCTGCCTCAGTTACCAGTCCTGACTCTGACTCTGGCTCAACACTGGCTCCAGGATTTGACATTTGACTTCAACTCAAACCTTTAGCTTCGATTCTTGGTTCTGTCTATGATTTGACTTCTGGCTTTGATAATTAGAAGTTGATTATGGTGCTTCAACCTAGATGTTTGCTCTGCCCATATATACCATATTAAAACCCATTACATACCTCGTTGCTTCTTGAATATTTTAAAAACACTTTCTTTACAAAGAGTTTTCAATACTTTTGGTTTTCCTTCCTTTTGTTTTGTTGTTAAGAATATTTAAATGAAATAGGATTTTTGTTCTTTAGAAATTAAACTAGCCTGCTTCAGAAGGGCCCAATCTAACTTGCACTAAAATCTGTCACAATCTTTCAAGTAACTTCAGTGATGATCAGGCCCTAATACCATATAACCATATACGGTTTCTGAAGAACAATTCAGAGAATAGCAATGAAGTGTTTAGGGACCTGGAAGCACTGACTTTTTGCAAAAATAAATAAATAAATAAATACATAAAAATCAAAGAATGAAAAAGGTAGAGCTTAACTAAACAACTACAGTAAATTGTGTAATGAACTGAAAGCCATCCACAAGTATTCAAATGTGATAAATACTAAGAGAGATTTAATGTAATCAAGAAGGGAGGACTAGGTAATATAGGATTAAATTAATTTAAAAAAAGTACCCAGATGGGAAGTGCTCTCCAGCAGACAAGCTAGAATCTTTAGTCAGATCCTTGGAATGTTAACCTGATCCTGAATAAGTAATAAAAATGTACAGTGTAGTAGGTTAATGTTTCATTATCTTTGCCTTGAGCGGTTTCAAAGAAAAAAAAAGTAAGGGAAGGAATGTAATACTCTTACTTTGGTAATAAAATAATTTTCATTAAAAAAATTGAGAAATAGATTCAAATCACTAAACTACAGTTCAATTAAAAGCATATGGAATTGTGGCTGGTATAGAAAAATAATTAAATATAGAACTACATAATGGAGAATGCTTCTTGGAACAACAGGACCTCAAAGAAAGATCTGAACTGTATCAACTGGTAAGTCTTAGAGGGGTAGTCATATTAGTCATGGTAGTCATCTGCATCTGACAAAGTGGTTTTTATCCTTGAAAGCTTATGCCCAAATACATTTGTTAGGCTTTAAGGTGCCACAAGACACCTCATTGTATAAACTGAGAGAATTAACAATGCAAAAATGTTGGAAAAAAGGCAAAAGCTGTACTGGGCTGTAATAGCGATGTGAAAACAAGCAGGCTAATTATTCCACTTACTGACTATTTCTCTTGAAATATTGCACGGAAGCCGAGCACCACATATTTAAGAAAAAACAGGTAAATTGGAGAGAACTCAGAGGAAAGCATCAAACATGATACAAGGTTTGAACAAATAAGACCTGTGAGGAAAGGTTAAGAGTAAGGTGCATAATCAGTATAGAGAAAAGAAGACTAATGAGAGACGACAAGTGAAACTGTACTGAGGATTCAGAGAAGCTATTCTCTTTAGTCAATAAAAATAGATGAAAATAAAAAACTAAAACTGCAGCAAGGACTATTTGGTGTAAAAATTAAAAAACTTAGCTATCGAAACATCATTATTATAGATCCAGTGGAAGATCCGGCTATTGGAGATCACTTAGGAAAAGTTCAATCAACCTTTTCCGTGCACAGGTTTCTGGACCCATTCTGCTCCAAACAGTCTACACATGCCCTAGAAGGTTAGATTTTTATCCTCCTCTAGAGTTTGACTGGTATAGCAAATCATTGCATGATCAGAATATAACACAGAGCATGAGGTTTCTCCCTGAGCAAGGCTGTTCCTAGAGCTCTGTCTCT